CTGTAAATAATGCCCATGGTTACGCCCTGTTGAACCACTGGGTTTCCTTCCAAGGGCTAAAGCTGTCACACACGCCTGGCTCAACTTGATACATTGGCGTCTGTGACACCACGCATGGGGTGGAACTTGTGGTTTCAGCCAACACTGAAGGGGTCTTATGCAAAGCAGGCCCAACTGTAGTACTGGTGATGCGGAGGCCATGAGGCCTAGCATTCTCTGAATGTCTTGAGTGGGCGAGAGGCTCCAACTCTGAAGAAGGCCGCTAGATGTTGTATGGCCAAAGCACGTTCTGGTGCGACTATCGACCTCATATGGACTGAGTCGAATACTGCTCCCAGGAACAAGGCCTGTTGGCTAGAAGACAGTGAGCTCTTGGCCAAGTTGACCCTGAGTCCCAGACACTCTAAGTGGCTGAGAAGGAGGGATCTGTGGGATATTAGCTTGGCCTCTGACTGCTAAGATCAGCCAGTTGTCGAGGTAGTTCAGAATGCAGACTCCCTTCTGTCTCAGAGGGGAGAGCGCCGCATCCATGCACTTCGTAAAAGTGCGAGGAGCCAGGGACAGTCCGAAAGGCAGGACCGTGTATTGATATGCCACTCCCTCGAAGCCGAATCTCAAGAATCGTCTGTGATGGGGGACTACCTGGATATGAAAGTAAGCATCTTTCAGATCCAGAGAAAAGAACCAGTCCCCTGGGCATATTTGCGAGAGGATCTGTTTCAACGTGGTCATCCTGAATGGCCATTTCATGAGGGTGCGGTTCAGGTGCCTGAGATCAAGGATGGGCTGGAGGCCACCATACGTTTTGGGGACGAGGATGTAACGGCTGTAGAAGCCTGACTCACTCTGAGCTGGAGGAACTGTTTCTTCTTTGGCCAGCAAATTCTTCACCTCGGTGCATAGTACATGGGTGTCCTTGATCTGCACTAAGGTGGGAACTACACCGCTGAATCGCAGGGTCTTCGAGCGAACTGAAGTGAATAACCTTGTTTTATAATCCCCAAAACCCAATCTGACACTCTGGGGATGGCCTGCCAGGCCTTGCCCCATGTGGCGGGTGGTTGGATTGGTTTGGGTGGTGGGTCACCATGAGGGGACTTGACACTCGTGATAAGTGGAAGAGGAAATTTACTCTCTTTTTGAAAATGTTTGTGTTTTATTTTTTCCGCTGTCGCAGCGGCTGTTTGTGTGGGCACTTTTAACACGGGCCCAGTACTTACAACAGTTTTTGTGACAAAAACACTGCCACCGGCACCCGGAACTGAACGGAGTGCATGGGGGCATAACAGAGGGTGCTTGGGGGGTGGTACGGCGATGGCAAGACTTTTCCCCCTCCTCTTTCTGTCTAGATGATCAGGACGACGCCCGAGGCGCAGGATCCAGCGCTATCTTGGGCCAGGGTCCTTGGCATTTAGGAAAAGGTTAGCGTCTGGCCGAGCTACGAGTGGGATCCTCCGGCATAGACCACTCCAATCCCAGCTCTTCCCCCGCTTTAGAGAGGACGCGGAAAAGTTCGGCATCCATCCCTGTTTTGGCATCGCTGGAATCCACAGACGTCAAAGGGGCGGGGTCGACAGTCGAGCCCGACATCTCCTCTGTGTCTGATGCAGTTAGAGACATGCTGTCCTCTAACAGCTCGTCCTTAATTCCACCAAATGAAACCATGTTGCTCGCATCCGCCGAGGGACGCTGTTCCGGGTGTTCAAAGAGGACGGGAGATTCATCTCTGCGTGGCGAGGGCGAGGCACGCGGGGTCTGAGCCGGCATGTGCTCGCTCGGAGCCGAGTGCTTAACCACTCTGGCCTGATGTTTTTCCTGGAGGAAGAAAATGGGAGGGCGCGAGGGGCGGAGTCACACTCTGAAAATAAAGCGATCCGAGCGTGCAGAGAGGCGAGACTCATGTTCACACAGTGTGAACATTCCATCTCGGTCAGAGTGGCTTCCGTGTGGGGTTTTCCCTGGCAGGAGACACACTCTTGAGTGGCCGTCATCAGCGTGCAGCGAACTTCTGTATTATAGCTATTTTAGGCTCGCCGGAGGGCGGCAGGGGACGAGCTGAAATCTGTGCCGGACACTGAAGACGGCTCAGAGAGCAGGCGGGAACAGCAGAGAAGCGCAGGTTAGCTCTTTGTCCGCAGCGAGGCATGTCAATGGCAAGCGGCTTCAAAGTCCGTAGATCAGCGAAGAGAAGATTGTAGTTGCTGAATGAGAATAGATCTGAGATTCTATGGCGTAATGCCCGCTTATATAGCCAGACGGCCCAGTCCATTCTGGCAGGCTTCGTCGCCATAGGCACCACTGCCGAGCCATTGGTTCATTTTTGATTTACTGCAGTTTTTTCCCCATAGCGTCTAGCGACGCAGTACGAGTGAAAGTATCGATGGGGAACCACAGTTTCCAGAACACAGAACTAGTGTGACACGGTTAAACAAAAACTACAGACAAAATGACTACTGTAGCTCTTCAAGCTCTTCAAAGTCATCATGGATCTGATTCATTATCTTTTCTCTTTCTGTCTTAAGTCTGAGTAGATGCAGTTTTACAGAAGATCAGAGTTTCATCCTGACTTCATCTCTGAAATCCAACTCATCACACCTGAGAGAGCTGGACGTCAGTGAGAATAAAATGTACAACACAGGAGTGTATCAATTACGTGATATACTGAAGGATTCACAATGTAACCTGGAGAGGCTGAGGTGAGGAACATTCACATACAAGAAAGAGAAAAGTGTTTTGGTATTTGAATGGTACAGAATGAATATTTTGTCTCTTAACTCATTGTAGGTTGAGATGCTGTGATTTGACAGATGAAGGTTGTTCTGCCCTGACTTCAGCTCTGAAATCAAACCCATCACACCTGAGAGAGCTGGACCTGAGTATGAATGAACTAGGAGTTTCTGGAGTTGAAAACATCTGTGATCTACTGCTGAACCCACAATGCAAGCTGGAGAAACTATAGTTAGTACCATTATACTACCATTGTACAGCAGTTACAGTTTGATTAAAGTTACATTTTTGTTGTTTAAGACAACAGACTCAAGGCACATACAGGTGTATCTCAATAAATTAGAATGTTGTGGAAAAGTTCATTTATTTCAGTAATTCAACTCAAATTGTGAAACTCGTGTATTAAATAAATTCAGTGCACACAGACTGAAGTAGTTTAAGTCTTTGGTTCTTTTAATTGTGATGATTTTGGCTCACATTTAACAAAAACCCACCAATTCACTATCTCAACAAATTAGAATACTTCATAAGACCAATAAAAAAACATTTTTAGTGA